TATATTTGTATTTTTTATTGTGGGGCTGCGTTAAGAATGAAAGATGAAATTCCATACTTACAGTCCCTTTAGTAACAGTCCCTTTAAGCTCCATTAAAGATGAATTCGGTGTTTGCTTGCTGAAAAAAACACGTAGCTCAGGTCATCTGAGGTCAAATGAGGTCAACTCACGTTTTTGCTAATACCTAACTTTGCACACAATGGGGCTAGAGCTTAAAAATTGTGTCATCGGGTTCCTTGTGATCAGCCGAATCGAATGACATGCGATATGACGCAATTTGGGGTACTTCATAAGTTGAACTTCATTTGAAAATTAGGAAAATCTTAAGTTCACTTTAACTTGTAAAAAAAAAAGTTTACCATTCGAGGCGCACGAACGTGCCGAGTTCACGGATGCTTTTATTGTTGCTCGATCTTGATTAGATCAAAAGTTATGAGCGAAAAACTTTGACCTGTTTTAGCGAAATTTTTGCACTTATACCCCCCCCCTCGCCCTAAATATTGACCTAGAGCAACCAAATTTGCACAGGGGCGAGATCTCCTATGGGCCCACCTACCTATAAATTTGGCGTTTCTAAGTGCCATAGCCCATAAGCGCCAATCGCCAGGGGGTCGTATACCAACCCTTCCCTCCCTGCCCGTCCGCGTTATGAAAAAGGCCCTGGCCTGGCGAGGGTTAAGTAGCCTAAACTAAATAAGTAAATGTTCTGTATCATGGCCATGCAGATTAAAGGTTGCTTTGAAATTAACCCGCGCCCCGCTGGGGTTTCTGGATTTCCACGCTCTGCTCGGGGGAGGTTTGAACACCCCTTCGTACAGGGCCTATTTTAAGACAATTGGACTGGGGTGGCCAGGCAGTGGTGGCGCCCCTGTCTCTTGTGTTGGCGCCCCCCCCCCCACCGAAATACTGCTGTGCGCAGCATTTCGATGGGGGGGGGGCGTCGCAATCGAGTCTCAGAATCTTTTCTTTGTGACGGTAGTACGTAAGGACTAACGTTTCGGGAAAGTGTCTGGAGGCCTTTGTTGGCATAGTTTTTTTTTTCTAACATAGCCCTTTCGGGCGATGCATGGAAAGAATTAAGCCAAAAGTCGGCTGTGCATGGTGCAACCCCCTTTCGTCAGAGAACTTTTACTGCTTATGCCGATGGCCCTCAAATCCCCCCCCCCCCCCCGATCCGTCCATGATAAACACCTTCCCATACCAAGCAGCCGGCGTCACTCGAGGTCACTTTATCTTGAAATTTCGATATCGATGACCTAAGGTCAGGTCAATTTTTCGACCTCTCCATTAGGTATAAGTCAATGGGAGAAAATTGAAAAGCGCCTCTTTTAGACGAACGCCATTCTAAACATTTTCAAACACTAAATTACGAGTTAACATGACACGCTGAACCAGAAAATGGCACCCGTGACCCCTCGTTATGCCCCCGAGGTCATATCAGGTCACGAATGGTATCTAACAGTTTTTCGCTAATAACTTCTGATAGAGGCAAGCTAGAGCGATGAAAACGCCTTAGATGTGTTCGGCTCGACGTTGCGGATCGACTGATATGCAGCACGACCTTTTCCGGTCAGGTCATTACCTTGACCTGTAGTCAAATTTTCAAGTTGACCTTTCAAGGTCAAATTATAGTTCATTCGACGCGTCTAGACGAGAGGAACACCATGCTGGCAAAAATACTGTCGTGTCTCTCTTGAGTCAAAAGTTATTGAAGAAAACGAAGTTTTTGCACTCTGGAGGCTAAACCGTTGACCTGAGGTCAAACCTGAGAACATTATTCAGAAAGCCCTGTAAAAGAGCTATCGATTGCGCTTTTCCGCGGCGCTGTAGCTCTATTGGTTCCCGAGCTGTCCGTCGGCAGTTGCGAAAAATGTTGAAATAACAAAATTTGACCTTTGATGACCTTTGGTGACCTGACCTTTGACCTGACCTAAAAAATAACAAGTGGGTATTTTCGTCATGGTTTTTGACGTCCTTTCGGATGCCGCTTACCGCGTGTCGCTACTTGGCCCAGGAGCCGACTTAGAAGGGGGGTGTTCAAATCCCCGCCCCCCCCCCCCAGCAGGGCGTGGAAATCCAGGACCCCCAGTGGGGCGCGGGTTAAACCGCCGCCCGCCAGATTTTTCTCTTGGAAATACCCTCGTCAGAAGCAATGCGGGCACGTGCGTTTGAAAATCCATTGTTGATCACACGGCCTGTCTCATAGCCACATGACAAATTTAATTTTGCGGCCGATACTGATAGGGCTCCCAAAGGTGCAGTTGGCGCCCCAGTAGTGGTGTAGCGCCCCAATCGTGTCTGGGCGCCCGAATGTTGATAGGGCTCTTCAGTCGTGGTAGGCGCCCAAGTGCTGGTAGGGCGCCCCATTGCCGGTAGTGTGTCCCAATCGAATTAGAGAGTCCCATAGCTCAGTTGGTAGAGCACCGGACTCCCGGTAGTGAGAGCCCGGGTTCGAGTCGCTCCGGTGCTCGATATTTGAGACTCCTGACGGGGATGGTCTGCGGTTGGTGGGAGCAGCCGCAGCCAGTTGAAGTCAGTTGAGTGGGACAGGTTGTGTCCGGCTTTGAAGGGCACGTTAAACTTAGGCATCTAAATTATTCCGTTACCCGGAATTGCGCGATCAGACGGTAGGGGTCGGGGTCTACGCAACAACCTCTGCTTAGCGTGGGCTCCGGCTCTGTCAATCCGTCCATTCAAACATTCAAGCTAAATTTATAAAAAAAAAAGTAGGGCGCCACAGTTGCGGCAGGGCGCCCCCAGTAGTGAGAGGGCATCCCATTGGTGGTGGTGGCGCCTCAGTGAGCCCTTTTCCCCCTGTCAAGCTGAGTTCGCCCCAAGAATGTGTCGCCTCCGTGATTGTCGGCAGCCAATATCTGTGGGCAGACTTTTGGGCTGTTTTGCACTGGGGTGGCAAAGCAAGACGACTGGGGTGGAAAACCGCACCACTGGGGTGGGTTTTGCCACCCCAGTTAACATGTTAAAATAGGCCCTGCCTTCGTAACTCGGCTCCTGGGACATGTAGCGACACGCCATAGGCGACGTCAAAAATAATGAAAAAATTATTTCAGTAGCTTTTTAGGTCAGGTCAAAGGTCAGGTCACCAGAGGTAATTGTAGGTCAAATTCAAATTCCGGGTCAAACGTAAACATTTTTTGAACAAACCGGCGCATAGCTCAGGAACGGATAGAGCTACAGCACCACGGAAAAGCGAATCATTTAACAGCTCTTTTAACGCTCTTTTTGTAGAGTGTAGACTGTCTTCAAATTTGGCCAAAAGTCAATAATTTAACCTGGAGGGGGCGAGAGCTGCCAAAAAGACATTTTCTTGCCAAACTGTCTTATCTGCAATAACTTTTAACTTGAAGCATGCACGACTTTACTTTTACCAGCACTGTGTTCCTCCCGTCGAGACGCATCGAATTAATTTGACGAGTCAAGTTGAAAACTTGACCCTAAGCTGAGGTCATGGCCTGGCCAGGGAAGGTCGAGTTGCATATAAGTCGATCCATATCGTCGAGCAGAATACATCTGAGGCATTGTTATCGCTCTAGCATGCCTATATCAAACGTTATTCACTAATTAATAAGTTCACTAAAATAATAAGTTAATAATAATAAGATAAATAATAATAATAACAATAATAAATAATAAGATAAATTATAAGTTCACTAATTAGTGAAAACTGTTAGAAACTGTACCATTCGTGACGGGAAATGACCTCAGGGACATAAGGAGGTGTCACGGGTGCCATTTGTCGGTTCAGTGTGTCATATTTTCTTACAACTTATCGTTTTGGAGTGTGCAGAATGATTTTCGTCCAAAAGAGGCGCCTTTCAATTTTCTCCCGTTTATAATGGAGAGGGCGCAAAATTGGCATGACCTTAGGGCACCGATATCGAAAATCCGAGATTACCATTTTGTACGTACTGTTGCTCTTTATTAATTGCTGAGAGTTTCAAAGTGATCCGTCACCCGGTGTAGCTATGTGAAACTTTTTCTGAGGTGAGGTTTCTTGACGTGACCTGGTGACCGAGAGAGCTTGGTCTGAACTTTTGACATGTACGGAAAAGACGCATGATAAGTCGTCGTTTTTTTATATATTCGCGAGAAACCCCAGGGGGTATTAAATCCCCCCCCCCCCAGCAGGGTGCGGGACAAACGCGATCAATAAGAATGACAGTGCCTATGAATTAGCAACTGTCATCCTATAGACTGTCGTCGCACTGCCTAATTGGCTTGCAATGAGGCAGGGTAAGACATTGAACATTGCACGGGTCCTAAATGGAAGAGGGCGGCACCAAAAGAGAAAACACTGTTTCGATCACACACAGCCCTTGCTGGCTGACTCCAGTAAGTATAATGTTTCATTACCACTCCGCGATGTAGGGACTCACGTGTCTCGAAGGGACAGGACACCCAGCCGCTCAAACGGCCACCCAAGACGACCCACAGGCCACAATCATGTCTCAAACGTTTTTGGAAGAATGGCTAGATACCTACCATTCGGTTCTAAGACTATCAGAAGTAAAGTTCCTGAATGCCGATTTGTCTAAAGACGTCTAGATTCCAGAGGCAGCATGTTGCTCGCTGATTGCTGAACAGTTACGTGGTGGGATATTTATAGGATATTTATATTGTGCAGTTACATAAATATGACGGTTGTTGCAATTTCAAAGGCTTTGGAACTAAACGAATGAATGTTTCTTTTTGCCTCGGCGTGTGAGCAAATCATGCCGTACCTTTTTGTTCCAAGTCCGTCGTACACTAACGTCCAATCCCAGCCTCCCGTACACTACCGCCCCAGGCCGCGGTGCCCAGCTCCACCCCCGTCGGCGCCCTGCCCTGCCCCACCCGGCGACACGGGCCCCCTTCTCCACAGCGGCACCGCCGGAGCGCCGCGGCCGTGACCCCGCCCCTGCCGTCCGGACCGCCTATATAACGGCGGCGGCGGCACGGCTCGGCACCAGTTCTGCTCCATCCCGGATCACACCGCACCACCATGAAGGTACGGCCGCACGTGCAGCTGTCGGTGTCCCCCGTATAGCGAGCGTCGCTGGCGGCTGGCGGCGGTACAGTGGCCGGCTCCACCGCTGGGACCGGGATCAGCCGGCCGGCCTCTGACCAGCACAGCGGACCGCGGCGAGCAGTGCAGTGTCGTGCAGTGACCTGACGTGGCGACAGTGATGTTTGGAAGTGCTTATGTGCTGTGACCGTGAATAATTATGCTTCTAGCAGCTACTGTTCTCTTTATTGATAAACTTTAATGCTGACGGGATATAACCCTGACTTTTCCAATTCAGCAAAGGAAGCTGTGCTTAATCCAAGGAAGTGAGTTTCAGGTACTGCAATTGTTTACGCTGGGCCATAACCATCTTGTATTTCACCTTTTGCATTCCATTTCAGGTCTTCATCGTTGCCGCCGTCCTGGCCGTGGCTGCCGCCGCGCCGGCCCCAGACACCCCCGTGTACAAGCCCGCCCCTGCCCCGTACAAGCCGGCCCCCTACCACCCGGCCCCGGCCTACAAGCCGGCCCCCTACCACCCGGAGCCCCAGTACAAGGAGGAGCCCAAGCCGTTCGCCTACGACTACGCCGTCAACGACCACTACACGGGTACCAACTTCGCCAAGAAGGAGGAGAGCGACGGCCACAACACCCAGGGCTACTACTCGGTGGCTCTGCCCGACGGCCGCACCCAGCACGTCAAGTACGTCGCCGACCATTACGGCGGATTCAACGCCGAGGTCACCTACGAGGGCGAGGCCCAGTACCCCGAGTACCACCCGGCCCCGGCCTACAAGCCCGCTCCCTACAAGCCGGCCCCCGCCCCCTACAAGCCCGCCCCGGCTCCTTACAAGCCTGCCCCGGTCTACAAGCCCGCTTACTAAATTGACTGCAACGCGGCATTTCTTGTTTGTGTTGTGATATTTATTGTCAACGCTCGTACCTGCGATGTTTTATAATACATGACTACGTTTGTCTTCCATTTCGTGGTGTTTCGTGAGTGGATGAATGAAAATGACGCATTTTTGTTGAACCAGACTGCTTTTTCACCTCGCTGCTATTGGTTATTCCTGCAATCTGTCATCTTTCGACAGCACAAGTGAATCCCACATGCGTTTGGTTGACTGTAATTGAGAGAGAGGTTTACGAAGAAAGGAACGTAATGTGGGAACATTTTTACACCACTCTTTCTCTTTAGTCAGCTTTTTGCAGCACAGCGGCAAATGGTTTGATATATATTCTTTTTTTTTACAATTTCTTTTATTTAGCTCAGATGCATGGCTTTAGATAGAAAATATCAAAGAGAAACTGCCAAAAATAGACGGTCTAAATTGGGAAAGTCGCAATAGCATTTGATATAAAACTTAACTACTGTTATGTCACAAGCATTGTGCTCCTTCCGACAAGACTCGTCAAATGATTTAAAATCTGAAAAAAGAAGAAAAAGTTGACCACAAATCAAGATCATGAACGAACCAGAAATTGCACAGATTTATATAATTTAATCCACTATCCAGTGTTTATTTGAAGAGTTGAACACGGTACCTAAGTATAGGTGATCTTTACAAATGTAAAGACAAATGTAAATGCAGTGATAAGGCATGTCATCGCTGTAACATGTCTTTATCAAGACGTATTGTCTAAGGACTCCTGATGACCTTTTATGACCTGACTTTACATAATTGGCCTCAATATGGCATAATGCAGGGTCGTGAGCGCAATTTCCCAACCAACACATGCAATACCTACAACCACCGAATGATCGCTGATAATGTTTGAATGGCTTTTGACGGGTTTCACAAATATGTGATTCCAATTCGTAGGCATTGTTCCCGGTCTATGGCGTCCATGCTGGTCTGAACATTTATCCATAACCTCAACTTAGGCATCTTTGATCGCCAACTTATCGCCAAAATCCACATTAAGAGCGGGCCTGAATGCGTAAAAGATCTCTAACGGGGAAATACTTGCATAACATTGACCTTGAATAAAACTGCCTCATGTTGTTACGTGAGCCACAAATTGAGCAAAAATAAGTTCAGCCAACGGTGAAAACTTTCCTGTGCTCGGCAGGGTAACTAATAATTACATGACACAGCGCAATATTTTAGACAATTTTCGACAAAGACCTAAGCCTTAAGCATGCAAGACTGGTCGGGGCATGACCTTATCCTGAGGTCGATTTTAGAATTGATTTCAATAAAGTCAAAATTGTATTTCAATTAGGTACGTGTCTCAACAAGAGAAAAACGATGGAAGCAAAATAGGTATCACATAACCATGCAGTGCTGTTCAAATTGTAATCGCAGGACTGAGGTTTAAAAAGTTTATCGATTGAGCCGCAACCCCGTAGCTCTTACAGTTCAATAATATCATGGTTTGTGTGTCACCTCGTTCAAAAGCATCGAAATAGGAAATAATTGATCCAACCTTTGATTGACCTAAACAAGCTGAATAATACCTTATAATTTATTTGAAGATTTTTGTACGTAGCATACCCCTTGCCACTACGTGATCCGTAACTTGGGAGGCAGGCTGGAGCCGAGCTAGTCCTTGTGGGGCACAAACTTCCAGAACGGTGCATACGGGGTGCGGTAGGTGAAACGGCGATTACCGAGTAATTACTCGATGAGTAATAGGTCGCATGGGCAAAAAGAATACAAGAAAAGTTTGTATACGTTAATCTATTACCATGTTGAACCGCGCCGTGCCGGTGGCCTGGGTTTTCTGTGTCGTGCTGGGGGGAGGGGGGCGTTTTCACGCCCCCCGTCTAAAGGCCGCCCCACACTGGACCTCGCATGCGATTTGCGAGTTTTTGGGTTTTCGGGTTTCTTCAAAATCAAATAGCACAATCTAAGCTGAGTGAACCACACTTCCATCGGACACGCGAGTCTGCATGTTTTTAGATTACGAGCGACCTTGCATCGCATTCCAAAAGTTGATTTTAAACCAACTTTATATTTTCCTCGCTGCGAAGTCTGCGAGTTCTGCGAGGTTTGCGGGTTTTTTTTCGTTGGAGTCGAATTTTGGTTCGTTGCGCTGGTATTGCGAATATATGTAAGTTTCTGAAGGTGTACCGGCTTCACTGCATTCATGAAAATACCATAAAGGAACGGTATACCAAATCACTATACCTATGAATAAGCATTATGCCCGCAAACTCAAAACCCGCAAACTCGCAACCCTGAACCCGCATGCGAGTTCCAGTGTGGGGCGGCCTTTACTTGGCCCCTGGGCAAAGTAAGCGGCAATCGAAAGAGCGTCAAAAATAATGGTAGAAATGCTTCGGTTATTTTTAAGGATTTGGTCTATTTCAACCATTTTCGAAACACCCGACGGCTAATTCGGGAACAAAGAGAGCTACAGCGCCGCAGAAAGGCGCATTCGATAGCTTCCATGTCCTGTTCAATAAGTTTTCTTTTTGTCGCGCGTGGTCGAAAATTTAACTACAAATTGCATTCGAACAGAAAAATATTATTTGTCTTATGTCATGGAACGTGATTGAGTTCACCTAAATAAAAATGCGGCAAAGTGACCTCCATGAAGTAAGCTGTCGGCCGCTTATGCGGTTCCTGAGCTCACTTTGAAGTGAGACGTGTTCTGCACTTCTACTATCTTCCGAACCGATTGAGAAAGAGCAGTGCTCGAAATATATCGCTTTTGTATTGTATTTTTGCCATTACAGTTTACTCAAAGTATTGAGGATAAGGTCAAATGACTCATACAGGAGTTCATGGTTCAACAGTCAACATGTCTTCAACTCTGGGCTACCTGGCTAAATGTAGGTATCTCAGTTCTCAAACATTGATTTAAAAGAAACTTGAAACCGCGCCAGTCGAGCTCGTGGAGCTTTCTATGGACTGACTCCTACCGGTATGCTCAGTGAATGTCTCTCACCTGCTGACAAAGTTTTCCTGTGGAAAACTGTGGTTGTCCCTGCCCTTATGTTTGGATGTCATACGGTTCCTCTCCGCTCAACTGATGTTGATACCCTGGACAGCGTCCAGTCTCGCTGCATCAAAGCTGCCCTTGGTCTGTCAAAATACGCACATCATTCTGCTCTGCTTATTGCTCTAAAAATTCCCAGGATACAAGAAATCCTCAGACGCGCGGTGGTTTTCGCGTTGTTGGGAATATTCCGAGATGATCATAGACTTAAGCACATAGCACTAAGTGAACTAGCTGTGTTAGCAACTGAGCCTGAACGTTTACACGGAACATTCTTGCACCTCGCGTACACCCTGGTGAACTGTTCTTTCCAGAGCGTGCTAGATACTGTAAGGGGCCATGTTGACCCTAGCTTTATAAGTACCCCGACTGAAGGTGACGGTTTGGTCGACTCGATTCGCTTCGTGCTAAATTCTAGTCAGACAGTTATGTCCCGTCGCCTGCTGAGGCTTTTGTGCGCCTAACCTGCTTTGTGCATTCTGCTACGATGTTGTATCTTTGCGTCGTGATGAGTGTTTATCTTTTGTTATATTGTGTCGTATGTTTTACTGTATGCTTTATCTTGTCTCGAAAAGACGCATAATAAATTGATTGATTGATTGATTGCCGAAACACATATGTAGCCATTTCAAAACAATTATAATTACAAAGTAGGCTCCATTGTTTGTCCAGGTATAAATAAGACGTTTTTATATCAATGTCTTCAACCTTTTTTTTCGCTCGGCCGCTGCAATCTTTTCCCATCGATGACAACACCCGGCGGTCAGGCTTTATGACGGGCAGTGACGGGCACTGCAGCTGTAGGTATATAACTGCCCCTCTCACTCTGCACCGACATCAGTTGAGGAACAGTCGCCTCGGGGAAACGGGAGCGCTTCAGACATGAAGGTGAGATCAAACTGCGAGTCGCTCGGAAAGTACACACAGTTTGTTAGGTATTAGGCACCTAAGTAGCAGTGGAAGTTCCTGTACAGTGTTTTTAAATGTTAAACGATTGTTTTTATCATGTCTGTTAAGCGGAAGAACAAGAAGTGACAAATGCCTATAGAACAAAAATAATTTGAAAAAGCCACATGGCAACACAAATTTTGGCACTGATACGGAGTTCCCAGACTCTGTAATATATCCCGCGCGGGGCTGGGGTCTCCAGCCGAACGCGCGGGGCTGGGGGGGGGGGGTAAATTTTACCCCCCCTGTTATCTCCCGAACTAATGATCCGATTTGGAAAATTCAAACGCCAATCGAAAGCTCTCATCACGAACTACTAAAAACATGTACTTAATTTAAAGTTTGAGGTCAAGGTCAAGGTCAGGTCAAGGGTACAAATTGCAAGTTTCTACAGTATCGGCCTTGCACCGTAGTTACCGAAGAATGGAGTCATGGACTGAGACTGATCGCCCAAAACGTGTTCTTAGGCTACCAAGACAATATTCGTTGCATACAATATCATTCAGAGGTCAAGGTCAAGGTCAGGTCAGGTCAGGTCAGGTCACCAAAAAACAAAATATAGAAAAGGGCATGTGCGACACATGTTTTATGGGTCATTTTACTCATAGAATTCAATAGGCACACTCAATAAGTGATATGGACCACCTCTGGATGAATTTCAGGTCGAGGTCAGGTCAAGGTCAGGTCAAGTGAGGTCAAGTTTTGAAGTTGGTTGTTAAGGCCTAAAAAGGTGTCTATCTGATGCAGTTTTTCACGGCGAATCGAATGGTGCTATTTTTGTTTCCGTACGAGGTCTAGAACTTCCAAAAAAGTCATTTTTCAAAAAATTTGTGTGTCGTGACGTCATAAAATTTTGAATAACTCCCACATTTTTGAACCGATTCTTCTAAAATTTGGTATGTAGGTGCACATAGACCACTTCTCTGACATATATTCCGGTTTTTTCGATAGACTCAAAATTTTGGATTTTATGATGATTTTTACAAAAAAGTCAGTTTTTTGAAAAAATTTAGGCCAAAATCCAAAATTTTCAAAAAACCGAGATAGCCATTTGATAGACAAAGTAAAATTACGTATAACCTTTTTTGTTACGTCTTGATTCCTTTAAAAATGAAGATGTTAGCGGCATTTGAACTTTTGCCGTTTTTGAGGCGAAAATGGCGAACATGACGTCACTAAAACGTCAATTTCTCAAAAATTTCCGACGGATTTCGCTCAAATTTTCAGGGAACGTGTCAAATTGATGTAAGAAAAGGTACTGAAAGTTTGGCGGCGCTGTGCGCCGCCGTTTTTGAGATATCGCAAAAATTCGCGAGGGGGGGGTAAAATTTACCCCCCCAGCCCCGCGCGGGATATCATTGCAGTAACGTTTACCTATATCAGTACATTTTAAGTACGTTTTATGTTTTTAATTCCTGATAAAACTACGTGTTTTATAACTACCAGCTTAGCCCAACTACCATCATTTCCAGGTCTTCATCGTTGCCGCCGTCCTGGCCGTGGCTGCCGCCGCGCCGGCCCCGGACACCCCCGTGTACAAGCCCGCCCCGGCCCCATACAAGCCGGCCCCGGCACCCTACAAGCCGGCCCCAGCCCCGTACAAGCCGGCCCCGGCCTACAAGCCGGAGCCCCAGTACAAGGACGAGCCCAGGCCGTACGCCTTCGATTACGCAGTCAACGACAAATACTTCGGCACTAATTTCGCCCAGAACGAGAAGAGCGACGGCCATAACGCCCAGGGTTCCTACACGGTGGCTCTTCCTGACGGCCGCATCCAGACCGTCAAGTACGTTGCCGACCACTACAAGGGATTCAACGCCGAGGTCACCTATCAGGGAAAAGCTAGACACCCTGATTATAAGCCTGCCTCTTACAAGCCCTCCCCGGGCTACAAGCCGGCGCCTAAATATTAACGTGTTGCCAGGAGGTTAGCTTACAATGTGTTGTTATACTTCCCACTGTTCTCCATTGATATGTTATCAATATACTGCTCATCCTGCTCACCTTGTTGTGTGCTTCATTATTTGGGACTATTTCGATGCATTATACTTGCATAACAAACTGAAGAAAAGGGAAATACTTCAGTAATTGCAGCGTTAGTGGCACATATATCTAACATTTATGGGAACTGTTATACGTCGAGCACTTTGTGAACGCTAAATTTTCTATCTTTAACTCTAAACCAAATTTCAATATTCATTGTTTTGTTTCGCACCGCCACAAATTTCGGAGCGTTTGTGTACATACCAATGCAAATTATTGTAGACAAACTATGCAACAAACTGATAATTATCTCGAATAAAAAATGAACTCGGGACTGGAGAGTTCGATCAGTTGTGCATATAAGGTGGGCCTGATTTTTTATTGTTCATTCGTGTTGTGACTGGGGCATGAAGGATTTTATGGAATAAGGGTCGGTCAGCTACCTCGGCTTCTCCTTTATCCTTCGAACCGACTACAGTTGGGTGTTGTATGAAGAGCACCCAGACAGCACGGTCCTCAGCTCCAGCGCCTCTAGCGAGTATAGTATGAACTAGAGGTTTATTTTCCCGATGCTCACCATAGTCGGTGAGTCTGCAGCGAGCAGCGCTCTACTAACTCGCAATTTTAGGATTAAAATGCTTCGGCACTTTTCATCCTTAGTATTGGTTACAGAAGACATTTCATGAGCATTCGAGACTAGCTAGTATGGTTTACAGAGCCTCGGTTCAAGCAAGAAAGATAGCACATTTTATGCTCGCCTACTCCCTCAATCGACATTTTAACCCACCGACTTTGGCAATTTGTCGACCGAGTACACTGATACGATGATAGCCCGTTTGTAGGTGTAACAACACCGCTCAGTCGCGAGGCACAGGCCGATCGAGTCCACACCTATCGCCACAAGCGAGTGGCCGAATCGATGGCTGCGCTGATCGCGAACATGAACCGTATCAACCGTAGGTACGTGAACCTTACATGAACCTAAGAGCGCCATGCATGGAGGGGGGGGGGGGAGCGGGGAGGTGAAAGTGAAGGTACACCAGAAGTCCCCTGCATCCGCCCCTGCGCCGGTCTTGCCCCTTTGCTTTTCGAATGGCAGGCGCATCATCTCTTGTCTTCCGGCCGCCGGATATCGGGGCCATGTGGTCACCAGATGACGCCAAACCCGACCCACGGTATATAGAGAACTGACCGAGAGAGAGAACAGTATATAGAGAACTGGCCCGACCGTGAAGTCATCGTGACTGGGCCTGCGGAAAGGGCGCGGTCGGGCTCCTCCCACAGAAATCGCCACTCGCTAACGAGCTAAACAAACCAGATTATCGCTAGTTACTCCTTTCAGCTGGATACGAGTGCGTTTTTAAATCCAAATATAAGTTTCCTTCCTTCCTTCATACTGTTATTCTCCATTTTCCGAGACTCACGATGACAAACATGAGTTGGATAGGGCCTACCCTAGAGGCATGCCTGTAGCCGCCTCTGAACGTCGACCCCCGAGGCGCGTCGCTGGCGTCGCCCGTGTCGGTTCGCCGCTGTCTAGTCACTGAGTAAACGACTGAAGGACAGAGTGCGCTCCGTCGGATGACTCGGCAGACACTCGAGCGTTGGGGGAGTGGCCGGCGGGGGCGACACGGGCGGGTGCTCCGAGAGCTCAGGGTTCGACATCTGCCCAGTCGAGTCCCAACGACGGAGCACACAGTGCATCGGCCCTCACCTCCGGTCGGTAAGAGGCTGAACGGAGACTGCTCGACGCTCGTATTGCTGCATTCATACTCGTAGCACATACCTTAACCAACACTTTGCTTAATGTCTTGAATGATACGGCTCGTCACAAGATGATATTTCTGACGCATGGTTATGGCTAGCTTAGGCTTAGGTTAGGTTTAAGTCTGTACCAACTAAATTTTCTGAGCGAGTGGTGCTGATCTAATTTTTCTATAGATAACATGAATCATGTTATCTATGAATTTATTTATATTCTAGGGGGAGAGGGAGACCAAAAAGCTCAACGTATAAATGTTTTCTTCCAACAAACGGCTTGATCGTTTCAGGAGCCGAAAGATTCATCATTCAGCGATCACGATGAAAGCTTGCAGAGCTACCAAGGAGCAGTCATTGCTTTCCCTTTATGATTATGTACCTACAACAATGATTTGTTAGTGATTAGTGCGTAAGTTCGAAACAAATCGATTTAAATGCCCAGAGAAGTAACGTCATGCCTTTTCCCTCAGATCGCCAACACAATAAAAATGGCCGGTGGACTAGTACGACTTCTGGGAATATTCGCGGTGATTTCTGCCGCCAGCCCAGCCACTGGTCCCCGGGTGTCAACTCAATCGGGGCAGCTCGAGGGAACCATTCTCAAGTCGTTCCTCGGAAACAATTTCTACGCATTTAAAGGTTAGTATTAGCCATTTTTGTAGTTCCAATCCATATTTTTTTGTCAATCTCTTGTCTGAGCAATATTCTAACGGCCATAACATCATTTCGATGACTTGTGTTAAATATCACGCCATCTATTTTCAGGGATCCCATACGCTGAGCCGCCGGTGGGTGACCTGCGGTTCCGACCTCCGCAGCCACATGCCGGCTGGTCGGGAGTCCGTCCGGCCGACACCTTCGGCAGCCAGTGTATGCAGTTCGCCATGTTCTCCTCGCCGCGCCAGCTGCAGGGCTCCGAGGACTGTCTGTTTGTGAACGTCTACTCCCCGCGGCTACCGGAAGAAGACGACCACCCGCAGCTGCCAGTCATGGTCTGGATCCATGGAGGAGCGTTCACGCTGGGCTCCGGAGACAGCGACTTCTACGGGCCCGATTACCTGATGGATGAGGACGTCGTGCTGGTCACCTTCAACTATCGGCTGGGACCGTTCGGCTTCTTCACCACAGAGGATGCCAGCGCTCCGGGAAACTACGGCATGCACGACCAGGTGCTGGCACTGGAGTGGGTGCAGGCCAACATCGCCGCGTTCGGCGGAGATCCCGACACCGTCACCATCTTTGGAGAGTCAGCCGGCGGCGCGTCTGTCGGACTACAAGTGCTCAGTCCTCGCTCACGCGGCCTGTTCTCAAAAGCCATCAGTCAGTCGGGCGCCTCGTTTTGTAATTTCGCAGCCAGTGGAGATCCTCAGGCAGACAACGCCCGGAAACATGCCGAGCTGACGAAATGTTCCACAGCCAACAGTCGGGAGATCGTGGGTTGCATGCGTCAGAAGCCGGCAGAGGAGATTTTCAACGCTTTGGGTGCTCTTCTGGATGAGGACCCGAATGGTTCCGGAGATGTTGTGTACAAGCCGCGCGTTGACAGCGACTCTCGGCTGCCCTTCCTGCCGACTGATCCGTTCACGGCTCTGCAGCGAGGCGCGTTCAACCTCGTGCCGTGGATGACCGGTCTCACCCAGGACGAGGGCTCCTTGCTCGCAATGATAAACGGATTTCATCCCGAGCTGGCGAAAACCCAAACAGGCCGCGATTGGAAACGCTGGGCCTCCTTGCTCAACATTCAAAAAGCCTCTTCAGACCCGATCGCTCTTGCAGAAGCACTGCATCGCCACTACTTTGGAGAAGCAGAGCTGAGCGAGGCGAATATGATCGAGTACAGTAACCTCCTCAGCGACCGGTGGTTCACAAACTGTATCATGTCGGAGGCCAACTTGGCAGCCCCACACACGCCCGTCTACATGTACGTGCTGGACTACACTGGTGCCGGACGTCAGAGCTTCGCGGCAATGGTGGCTGGGATGATGGGAAAGTCCATCGATCTCTCGAAAATGGGTGTGGGTCACTCGGATGACGTGCTGTACCTTTTCCGAACGGAACTCGACGCGCCCGTGACATGGAACTCGGACAAGCACAAGATGATTCGGTTCATGGTGTCGGTGTGGACGAACTTTGCTCGGCGCGGATACCCGAGCACAGACGTGCTGCCGATGCCCAGCTGGCCGGTGTACAGCCGCAGCCGGCAGGAGTACATGCGCCTGAACACCGCGCCCAGCGTGGGACGAGCCCCGTTCAGCGACCGGCTGCAGTTCTGGCGAGAGCTGGACATCCAGGAAAACTGGCGCCGTCCTCTCAGCGTCGATCGCCATGACGAGCTGTAGATCTATATCAATTTGATGTCCACGGTTGTAGAAATTGCTACCTAGAGATAAGTGATGTTTCATTTGATTCGAATGGGCGCCACTGAAGTTCGCAAAAGTACCAGTATTACGATAGGTACATAGGCCCAAAGTATAACTCTACCACACTGCCCAATCATCTGTCAAGGCATTTGTTTGCTTTCCGTGCTAGTGACTTCTACTACTATCATTTGACATGTTAATAACATGATATAGGTAGGTACTAGGTAGCTACTAGTTGTGCACCTAGCCCGTCTTATTCTAGATACCTATTCTGATAGTGCTACTTCGATGTTCTCGAGTGGCTGAGAGCACTGCGATCACTCTCAGGTCTTGATGGCACTTGTGTCTTGTGCTGTTTCATAGTCATACGTACTCTTTACGATAGCGGTAATCAGTACCATTTCCGTCCGACGTCTATTGACCAATGTCCACTGTACAGCTACAGGTCGCTGTTCTCTTTTGTCACACCGAGAGCCAAGAAAGCCTATGTCCAACTCCAGACTCTGCGTAGCTTCTATCCAATGAATGTATGAATAGAATAATAATAATAAAAAATGATGAATGTTTCGATTTGTCCATTTCATTGCGTGGTGGTCCGTCAATGGCACCGTCTCGCTGAGACCGCGCTAAGTAAGCGTCGTCACCTTATATGTCACATCATCCCATTCAATCAGCAATTCTATATTCACCTTTACATTGACGTCAGTCGTAATCCCAGCAGGCAAGCAAGTCAATAGTCCAGTTACTGACATCTTAGAATCAAGGTCAGCGAAGGCTCCGAGCCAGCGAAAATGACAAGTAGTAAACCGCTCAACGCGTCCTCTATGGGCCACAAACCCTTTACCCGAGCGACCGCGAATGCCGCCGCCCGGCCGCACCCGAATGGTTGTCCTGCGGCACAGCCTACCTTCAGGCGCTCTACCCCTGGCGCCATCTATTGCCATTTATAGGGAATATCGCGGCACAGCCTATCTGCAGGCGCTCTACTGGTAGCGCCATCTATTGACATTTATCAGAACTAACAATTATTTAGCCCAGGTTCCACTACGCGATTTTTCTGTGCGATTTTGCGATAACGCTAGATGCGATGCCAGAAAATGTTCAGCTAGTGCAAACGGATGTGCTGAGCCAATATCGCAACATTGCAAAATCGCACGGAAAAATCGAGTAGTGGAGCCTGGGCTTCAGGGGCTTCAAGTATTCCCACGGTGACTATAAATAGGTCAAGGCCCTAACCTGGGTATTCCAAGCGTTTCCAGCCATCGCACGCATTTCATCGCCGCTTTTGTTGCACGGAATTCACCTTCAAGTTCTGAAATAGGCAGTATCATTTCGCCGAAGCATCATTAAGAGGAAAATTATACGTCATAAATCGCGTCCCGTAAATCGCCATTCGACTCACAGAACTGCGAGACCGGTTTCCTGCACAATTTATTATTTTATCCATCCAAAACATTGGAGCCGGTCGAGGATTACCCAACGTCAATGCCAAGGGTACACGAATTTCTTTGACTAGCTATTGCCACTCAAGTATGACTGCCTGCGGTGCTCTGAATGTCAGGTGGGTGGGTGTGAGAGGTCCGCAAGTGACGAGGATAGTAGCCGTACTGATAGATCCCTGCCGACTCCCCCTGGGAAGGTATACCTTTTACCTATAAGCGTCCATCTCGCGACGCATTCAAAATAACATGGTATAACCTGACATGCATAATGTGTACCTACCAACAATATTTCAGTGGTGTACATAGGAACAAGTTAGCTCATGTGAATTTATTAGACCTTTCTCGAATCGTCGAAATGTAACGTGTCAGGAACCTTCCAATGCTGGAATCATATTGAACTGACTGCTACGCAAGTTGCAACACAATAAAAAATAATATAAATGAGATATATTTTTCCAGAGACAAGCTAACAAAATCATGCCCAGATCATTTGCACAAAACAAAAAACGATCGTCGTCGACATTTTTATTAGAATAAAGTACAAAATATTCACCGAAACAACTTATCAAATCAGGAGGTAACATGCTCTGTATCACAGAAAAACTGCGGCCTCACCAAGCACATCGCTCCGGCCACATTCCCTGTCAGCAGCCACATCATCATCATCGTCATCCACAGGGCGAGGACATCGCTTAACGTCCTGTGAGCTTCACCCGGAGCGTCACAAAGGGCAACAATGTAAGTCATCGTCAGGTGACCCCTCATATGTGTGACCGGGACCTCTCATGGCTGGAAAACGTCTCTTGGGTAGCACTTACTCCGCCTAACGGCACCCACATAGGTCAGATCACCGGGGTGCGGCAACAGCGCTGCACGGACAGAGAGCAATCGATATTAAAACTGCCTCCCTCAAAGCCGTCACAGCGAGCGGTCGTGCTCCTCTCAGTCTGAGCACCTCTCAGCAGGCCAGTGTCTCAAGAGTTGTGCTCGAGCAGGCTACGAACAGTTCACCGTTACCACACTTCTCCACCAACTCAGTACCATATGCAACGCTCACCAACCACAACCGTCCTCATCCGCACCGTCACACACGACAGACCCCTGGTAGCCCCTTCCCAGACCGGCTCCCCGCTCGGTCAGTACATGTCATCGGGACCCAGGTCGGCCGTGTAGGTCAGTCCCCGCTCCTTCATGGCCTTAACCCGCAGCTGCTCCTGTTGGTGGCGGGCCTCCTGCACCTGACGCTGCGCCTCCAGGATCTCCTCGACCGAGACCTCCTGGAGGCCGACTGTGCCCTCGCGCATCTCGTCCTGTAACAGGAAGGTCGCGGTGAGTGGTGAGCGACGGCAGAGGGTGCTATATTCAGCAGGGCTGGCAGCGTATGTATTTGGGAATAATCCATAAAATGAGCTTCCAGTATTCCACGTCAATGGATAATAACACCCATTGGGGGGAGAATGTTCTCTTATCATCGGTCAGACTAGCCAGTGACCGTGCAGTGCGATTAAAAACTGACCGTCAGTGAGCTCGGACTCGGCACGCGTTCACATCAGCTCCAACTGTTCAAGCTTCACACCTCACGGCCCATGTCGCACGCGACAAAACACTGACGCTAGGTACCTGTAAGCGCGTTCTCGATATTTCGCCAGCCAAGCTCACACGCAGAACCCTAAATAAATGTATCGTCAATAGTAATACGCTAGACCGCGCAGCGCGCACCACGCGAGCGAAAAAGTTAATGCACGTCTGGGTCGCAGTGTAGCCTTCATACAAATACATGCATTAATGTAAATGGGAACACGAAGGCCTCTACCAGTTTTTTTGCGGTTTCGCACCGTAAGTCGCGCCGTTTTCCGGATAGCCCATCAGAACATGGCAGAAACGTCAGAAGACGCAGCCATGCATTTCCCACGTGAAACCAGAGCGGAGATTGACGCCCTGAATCTGACCAACTGAGCTGAAATGCCTTTAAATTTTTCGAGCTGAACTTTTAAGTTAAAATTCATGCTAGTACAGGGTGACACAAAAAAAAACGGTCATCACCAAAATTCGAATAACTTCGGAAGTTTTATTCAGATCATCACCAAACTTCGGCCACTTTAGGTCACACCTATGTAGCAGACATCCACCAAGTTTCAAGTCTTCACTACGAATACTTTTAGTACAGTGTGTGTTTTACGGACGCTCCACAATGTGCTCCAGGTGAGCGCCCCGGCGCTGCAGGGCGTAGGCACACCTGCATCCGGCGGGCAAAGTTGCCGATAACCCGATAAGAATAACGTTTCAGGGGTAGCACACCCCCTGAGCACTGTCTTCAGAGGCCATTGCACTCTGTAAAGTGCACAGCCATCGGGTTATCGACAACTTTGCCCGCCGGATGCAAGTGTGCCTACGCCCTGCAGCGCCGTGGCGCTCACCTGGAGCACATTGTGGAGCGTCAGTAAAACACACACTGTACTAAAAGTATTCGTAGTGAAGACTTGAAACTTGGTGGATGTATGCTACATAGGTGTGACCTTAAGTGGCCGAAGTTTGGTGATGATCTGAATAAAACTTCCGAAGTTATTCGAAATTTGGTGATGACCGTTTTTTTTTGTGTCACCCTGTAATAAGGATTTCTGAATAAGTCAGTCAGTTTTTGCAGAGCTAAGCTATAATTTTTCTGAACTACAGCTGTAGATCGGTCTTCTTCAACGCTAATTTTCAAATACGACAGATTCAAAGGCCATTACGAGTAAAAATTAGCTTCATAGGCATCAGTATAAGAAGTTTCCCATTCAGTTCATGCTGTGACAGGTCATTAGTGAAAATCATAAGCGAAATCTGTCTGAAAATACACCCCTGCACCACTCCGTGGATCATCGGCGGTTCGGCAGAGTAACGCACACCGTAACGCCAATAACGCACACGGCACAGAATACGGTCAGAGAGCCGCGATCGGACGGAACTATTCATCGTCTGCGTCATACCATCCCAGCTTCTCCAGGAGCCAACCGTGCTCAGCCGTGCCAGTCGCGCGAGCGGTACCATCTGACTGTACTTACGATGAGTCCGACGACCACGACGTTTTCGCCGCGCACCACAAAGATGCCGCGGTAGATGTCACCAAACTGCTTGCCCACGTGTATTCGCTCGGTGGTCCTGTCGAGCACCAGGTTGGCGAACTGGTCGACGCTGCGCAGCACGCCGATTAGGGTGCGTCCGTCGCGCAGCAGAACCATCACCTTCCCTGTCGAATGATCAAACACACACACACACTTCACCACAAATCCAGTGTCACACACACTTCACGCTATCAGGCATGTAACTAAGTAAATACCTACAACCATTAGTTGTGCCCATGTCAGTAAGTAAGACTATAGGAATGAAGAAGATCCTCCAAACAAAATGCAATAGTGCTGTGGCTTGTAGAGTTCATTTGATTCTATGGGTGATGGGGCTGAACGCCATCCTGGTACCTAGTCATTGAACATGATGTGCCAATAGGTAGCAGGTACCTAGAGTAAATGTGATCTATCCAACAAATATGTAACATTGCAACTAATTCAGAGACAGGAATGTAATTCTTACGGTCAAGCTCATCCAGTAGAGTTGCATGGCCAAACAGAACATCATCTGTTCGTGAGGACATCCTGAAATAAAAGCAGCATAAAATTCAAATTGAATCACAACACACCCTGACCCAATGATGACTGAGCAGTAACACAATTCAGGCGCATAGCTTGTTACGTCAGGATCCAAAGATGAAGAAGCCCTCCTTTTTTCTTTTTTTAGTGGCCGCAACTTAATTCCAAGGCCGCACTGTATCAAGGTACTGCGCTGCTGAGCTTTGCACACAGCAGTGTATTGGGTTTCCATGGAATCATCAACAAGCTTGGATGCTCATAATGCTGAAGCGTTAATTCCAAATTTGTCTCAAACGCACCCATACAGCCGCGTACTTGAACTGCACGATCAGGTTGTGAAACAAGGCCCAAATTTAAAGCATTGGAAAAGGTGGGGTAGCTACCTTCCTATGGAAGGTAAGTTGAAGTACATTGAGGGTCATACAAAGCAATACATAAGACCACACTGACACTGGATGAACCAGCTAGAAAACAAATACCTACCTACCAGCCAGACTGAAACCAGCCAACCATGTTATCCATGTTATCATGTGATGTTCTGAAACGCGCAATCCATGTTAACAAGATGCCATAGTTCGAGCCCTTACCTTCAATACTTTTTAGAAATTGTGTACACATAAATGATGAACCGGATAAACCAAAAGAAGGCATAAATTGAAATATATTATGCTGATTATGGTGTACAATCGCTTGCAGAAATACAAAGTATTTTCAAAGTATGTAAGAAATGACGACAAAGTTCGAAGCTACCTCCTCCAATCACATCCTAGCATATTTTCACTTTGACATTTTCATTGGCTGCTGATGATGACGTCAATAGTAAAAATAGTTTGTCGCAAGTGCGCAGATTGATAAATAACGATTGTTCACAATTATGTTCTTTTTTCTTGAGACAGCATGTTCCGGCATTCGCATGACAACATCTGGCCCCAAAAATGGAAACAAATCTTTTTCCGAGGCTGTCTTTTTGTAATAAAAATGAGAAATGTATGGAAATTCCATGGAAATTCCTGAACAATTTTTGACTTACCTAACTCGCTTGTATTTCTTGTAACTGATTGGATAATCAAGGTGAGCTGTAAATGACGTTAGCAAACGAACACATTATTTTGTGAATACAGTTCATTTCTTCCTGTTGGCTGAGCAGCTGTTTGGGAAAGTGCTTTGAGCGTAGCGGAGCGCGGGGCCACGCTGTACGCTGAAGGTGAGCTCTTTGTTTAATCCGGGCTGTTATATTATGTATATAGTCTGGGTAAGCTAGGGCGCGAACTGTTCGCTTCTTTTTGTGATATCCTGATGTCTACCTGAACACTCCTCCCAGGATGAGGAGACTGTAGTGAGGCGTGTCGGGCTTTATTGACATGTTAAATATGGGGTTAAAATATTGGCTTCCTGATAAATAAGAAATGTTTGAAAAGTATGAGGTAGGTAGGTAAAGATGAACCAAGGAACTGCAGGCCGGTCAGTTTGACGTCTGTTCCGTGCAAGCTCTTGGAGTCGATCATCCGCGACCGGTTTATGGCACACCTCAAGTCGGAGAACCTGATCAACGATGCCCAACACAGATTTGGTCCAGGGAGGTCCTGCTCTACTCAGCTGATGCTAACAATAGTAGAATGGAGCAGCATGTTTGAGAGCAACAGACCTGTCGACGTCATATACCTAAACCTAGCCTAGCCAAGGTGTTCAACACAGTCCCACGTAGAAGGCTGCTGAGGAAAGTAGAAGCTCACGGCATCAGAGGCAAGATTCTGAGATGGATTGGCACATTCTTGGAAGGACTGAAGCAGCGAGTCACTGTTGGAAGCAGCAAGTCAGACTGGGCTCCTCAGCAGTGTTCCACAGGGTTCGGTCCTTGCTCCATTGCTCTTCACGCTGTATGTGAACGACCTGCCGGAACCGCTACACTGCGGGATAAAAATTCGCCGATGACAGCAAACTCTACCGACCTATCTGCTCTCTGTCTGACTCAGCATCCCTGCAGGAGGACCTGAATGCAGCACTTCACTTGACAGACAGGTGGCAGCTGTCATTTAGCCCTGGAAAGTGCAAGGTGCTCCACATCGGCGGAGGCAACCAGCATCACACATACCGGATGGGGGAACAACGGTCGCGGAGTCAGAGGTCGAGAGAGACTTTGGCGTCCTCATGGATACCCAGCTCAAATTCCGGAAGCAGGCTGCTGCGGCCGTAAAGAAGGCAACACAAGTGATGGCATTGATTCGTTGGTACTTCCACCTGCTTGAAAAATCAACCCTCCCCTTGCTCCTCAAGGCCCTTGTCCATCCCCACCTTGAGTACGGGAACCTCGTGTGGGGTCCCTTCAACCGGGCGGACCAGCGGCTGGTAGAGCGAGTGCAAAGGCAGGCGACCAAGCTGGTTCCCGATCTTCGACACCCCCCGTATCAAGGGCATCTGAAAGTGCTGCAGCTGCCAGCTACCAACGCTGTACTACAGACGGAGGCGTGGAGGTATGATCACGGCTTATCAGCTGCTCCGCGGTGGACTTGACAGTTGACATGGACCCTCGCAGCTTCTTCGAGATGGCAGCCGACAGAACTCCTGCTAAAAGAGGACACCAGTGGAGACTAGCTAAGCCGCGAGCGGACTCCAGGATTCGGCGCAACGCGTTCTCCATCCGCGCCATCAACGACTGGAACAGCCTACCGCCAGCGGTCGTCGCCTCCGACACCTGAACCAATTCAAAAACCAGCTTGACGCTCACTGGGCACACCTTGCACACGACATGCCTCATGCAGACGAATAGTCATTAGTCAGACGCACGAGGAGCGCGACTAGAAAGGTTTCTAAAGGCCTCTGGCCTCTCTGGCCTCCATATTCCGTAGTTCGTAAGTAAGTAAGTACGGGGACCCGCAGTTGCTACTGTACAGCGACCCTGAGTAAATTGTCCCAGCACCCTCACAGAGAACAACGATAAGCTGTCAGAGGGCACGCACAGAAAACCTCAGCTGCTCTTGTACAGGGACCGGCAGTCAATATCAATGTTATCGGTTGTTTCTGGACAGAACGGACGGCTAGAGTTGGGGTTCGTGTACAGAAGCAACTGCGGGTCCCCGTACCCAAGTAAGTAAGTAAGTAAGTAAGTAAGTAAGTAAGTAAGTAAGTATGAAATTCTTGCAAATATTAAATGCTGTTAGAAATTAGAATATAATAACACACTGTCAAATGTTTCATGCATTGATTGTTCTCACATATTTTCCAGGATAGGAATGGCTAAGCCTGATTCAAATGGAGGTGGAGATGGTGGCCCGCAGGCCTACAGCCGGCGCCACATATGGGTGGTATTCGTCTCGCTGCTGCTGGACCTGCTCTCATTCACCATGATCCTGCCTCTACTGCCATCGCTGCTCGACTACTACGAGTCACACGACACAAGTGGTGCCTACCCACTGGTGGTGAGCCGCGTACGTGAGTTTGGCGCCGCCATCGGAGCACCTGATCGGTTCACGCCCGTGCTGCTGGGCGGCCTGCTGGGCTCCCTGTTCTCTCTGCTGCAGTTCCTGACGGCGCCCGTCTCCGGCCGCCTGTCGGACGTCTACGGCCGCCGTCCGGTGCTGCTGCTTTCGCTGGTCGGCATCGCCGCGTCCTACGTGCTCTGGTACCGCGCCAGCAGCTTCCTGGTGTTCGTGGCGGCGCGCGTGGCCGGTGGACTGAGCAAGGGCAACGTCAATCTCTCGTCGGCGATCGTGACCGACGTGACGGACGTGGAGTCCCGCGGCCGCGGCATGGCCTGGCTCGGCGTCGCCTTCTCGGTCGGCTTCATCGTCGGCCCGATCATGGGCGCGGCGTTCGCGGCCGGGTTCGGCCGCGGCGGCGGCGGCGGAGCGACGCTCTACCAGGCACCGGCGATGCTGGCCATCGCCCTCTCCTCGTTGAACGTGCTGTTCGTCTACCTGGCGCTGCCGGAGAGCCTGCCGGCCGAGCGGCGGAGGCGGCGTGCCGGTACCGACGACTCCCTGCTCGACTACATCAGCCCGGCGGCGCTGCTCAAGTTCCGGCTGGTGCGCTGCGCGGACGCCACACAGCAGGCGGCGCTGCGGCACATCGGCCTCGTCTACTTCCTCTACCTGTTCATCTTCTCCGGCGTCGAGTTCACCCTTACCTTCCACTGCCACACGCGCTTCGCCTACACGTCCATGCAGCAGGGCTACATGTTCCTCTACATGGGCGCGCTGATGGCGGTGGTTCAGGGCGGTTACGTGCGCCGGATTCCCGAGCAGCGCATGGAGCGCACGGCACTGGTCGGCGTCGGCCTCCTGCTGCCCTCGTTCGTGGCCGTGGCGTTGTCGTACTCGCAGCTCGGGTTGTACGCCGGGTTCACGCTGTACGCCCTGTCCACCGCCGTGTGCGTGCCGTGTCTGTCTACGATCGCGGCGCGTTACGGCGGCGCGCACCAGAAGGGCGCCGTGACGGGCGTGTTCCGCTCGCTGGGGGCGCTGGCGCGCGCGCTGGGTCCCGTGCTGTTCAGCACAGTGTTCTGGCTGACGGGAGCCACCGTCTGCTACTGCGCCGCCGCCGTGGTGATGATCGTGCCCCTGATGCTGTTGGCTCGCTTCCGACCTCCCTCGACCGCCGCCACGGCCGCCAAGGATGACTGAGGACAGTGGACAGGAGTACCGAGAGGGGAGGAGAGATCTGAACCGAGTGTGGTCGACTCTCGTCCCTGGACAGAGAGTTGCGGCTTCATCTTCGGCTGGCTTTCCGTCTACTCCGTCACGATGCCAGAATTAATGCAAACACTGGTGAAAGGTGTGAGTATTCATGAATCAACTACGTACCAACAAACCGGATTATGCTGTTACTTTTTTCGCTTTGTGATCCCGCTTGCTTATCGTTTTTTTTTTTTTGAAAATGCCTCGCTGCTTTGCTTAATACTCGGCATCACCACCTCCGTCCGTCACCTCAATGCCGACCTCATTATCTTATGGCTAACCTCGTTTTATCCATGTGCTTAATGTTATGCTTCTGCATAGTGCATATTATTCCTGTGGCCTTATTGAAAGTCGAATCGTCTCTTTTGACAAATCAGTATAGGTACCTATTGCATAGGTGTGCGAGCGACTACTTTGCTTTTCCTTTTACATGTGTTCATCCGGTCACCATGGGCTCATCTCGTGATACGAATGCGAGTGACCTTTTCCTCGACTGATTTAATGATGTTTCAAAGTCTTGAAAGCGAAGCTGAACGAACGCCCACCTATGGATCTCGTGTGCAACGAATGTGTCTTGAAACGATGGGTAAACGCTTACGCGTTATATTTTCCGACAAATGCTGCTTTGGCAAATGTATTGAGGTGTGTTTATCGTACCACAAACACTTATCGTACCACAATCGCGTTCGTACATTCCAGTGAGTTTCTATAATATGGAGCTGTGTGCGGAGTGAAGTGGCCCCAGGCCGAGTCGAGAGAAAGTGTGCTAACCGGGCAGCAGTTATCACCCAGAAGATGGACTGTTAGTTCAATGGATGTTCTGTGGTGTCCGCCCGCCACCGGACTCTGAGTTTAGAGAGGCTCCTATCCGGGTAGCACTGGAGAAGGGACTAACAACATCGACCACATAGCGACCTGAGGGTCTTGCGGAGCGGAGCTGCACCGTGCCACTGCTGTCATGATGTGACCGTTATGCTGACGTGATTTGGTGGCCCGCACAGCTGTTTGCGGTCCAACCCCAGGCGGTGCCTTTGTGTTCAATCGTGCACAGATGTTGATCCTCTCGTAGTGAAACCGACATTTTGACTTCCCCGCGGTTGACTGCAAGGCCCTATATACCGTTGACCGATGGCGTGCTACGGACGGCTGACCCGCTGTGATCGGATGATCAGAATGTGATGGAAGTGCCTGTCGTCTGGTGGTAGCGGCATGCCGAGCCCACACTAACATTCCTTATGGGACGCTGTTCCGCCTTACAAATATCTATCATTTCGTACACGTGTCGTAAAACAAAGGTGCGCGCTTTGTCTCAACATTAGCTTCTAGAGCACTTGCAATGGGAAACAAAGGGTGTTATCGAAATCGAACAAATCACTTACTTATGCTTGTTACTTGTTAAATATTTATCAACATGTTTGTAGTCTCTTCCTATTCGGTAGGGTTAGCGCGTTATGGTAATGTAGCTGGTTTAGATCGATATGCCTCAGCTGCATTCTTTTTGGTGATTGCTTACCCCGCTGCTTCTGTGATTTTCATGTACTACCACTTTTTGGGGAGAAGGCTGTTCGTGACATGGCGCGGTATTTGACAGATCCAGTATTTTGTGGTTTCTCAATAAATGTTTTGGGATAATTTCTGTTTGCATACTGAGAGTATACGGAATGGAAGGACCGGAAGAGAAAGTGTGCATCTTCCCACTTTTGTGCCTTAATTTTGTTTCTGCAATCCATCTCCCGTTCTGGTCAGGTGCCGTGGGAGTAGGTCTGACTGTTGCCGATTTTCACCGATGCTTAACTGGGCGCTCCAACACCTTCCCTTCTCTCCTATGGTTTTAGCCTGATTGGCTTTGGTCTCACAGCTTTCTCCCAGATCGTGAGTCGTAAGCACACGTAGCGTGGGGTGACATCACGGGCACCTGTACACCGACTATGGGCGTGACTGGCTGAGCACACAGCGGCTGCCAGGGAGCCAGCCAGCCAGCCGGCCGGACGCTGCGCATTTGTCGAGTCACCCTGACACAGCGAAACTGAGGCAAATGAAGACCAACCGGGACAAAGCGAACGCAGGGAAGAGCCAACGATGCAGAACCTTTTTTTGAAATTTCGATCAAACATATAGAGGTGGGTGAGTTGAATCTTTCAAATACGTTGCCACGGACAACGCACGACTCTTAACGATGCATACGACGAACCTCGGAAACAATCAGCAAAAATTGATGTGCATGCACGGTGCTGCTGGGTTTAGGTAACCGTCCTGGAGCGCTGCACTGTCACACAGGGGACGAAGACGTGGCACACTATATTGACAATGACACACGGGTGACTACGATCGAATGCGACCGCAACAGGTGGTACAGCGACACCCACGGCAGGGGTCAGTGACACCCATGACAGGTCAACGAGCACCGACCGCAGGTTTGCAGAGCGCGAGATAGAATAAACGGCTACGGGACAGCGATCCAAATCACACAACGCTGAAGCACGGAATAGAAGAGAGTAAAAAGGGCAGAATTCTTTGCAACGATATGACACACAGTGCATTCACGGAAAAGTTTCAAGCAAGACCACAGCGAAGAAAGCTAAGCAAATAAGTACCGGTAGATCACCATAAAATGTCTCACTCCTTGGATATACGGACACAACTTGTCTTTTGTCTCCATTTATCGGAAACGCCGCACTCTAAAGTTACGTGGCTCAACCGCCAGATGAGCACCCGCGAGCCAGAGTGCCATGCGAGGTCGCTACCCATCTCCGAGCCTGCCCGCAAGGCCACAAGTCCGGTCCCCAGTGTAAGCCAACGAAACCCGACAGGAATGTGCAATATCACCAAACACACCAAAGGTGGGACCGTGCGCGACTCGAGAAGGGACGGCGCAATGGACGGGAGGAATGACTAACGACAAAGGCACCGTCATTTTGGGAGAGCCGACTTCTGCACATGCACTGGAATCGAGCGAGTGTATGTAAATGGAGCTATGATTGGTTATTGATACTAGTTTGAGATAGTCGTTTGAATTGAAATGGGAATAGCCAGGAGCCGTAGCGCTGCAGAAAAAGCGACACCTTTCGCAGCGTTAAGTACAATCATGCATAACACATGGTGAATGATATATAGTCCTTGGCGAAGAGTTGACTCCGATACAGAAAGCATAACAGCTGGTCGGCTCCGATCCTTCAAATAACACACATCTAAAATATAGCCTCAGTGGACTTCTGATCCTCCTATCTATCTCACACGATCCCTGGATAACAGGCTCAAACACACGTCTCCCTTCCACCATCCTTACCACCCCTGCATGACACCTGTTCAGTCCCTTACCTCAATCCCTCGCCTAATGCACACCAATAGCCTCACGGCGCCCACGGCACAACAAACTTTTCTAACAAAGCTGACGGTAACAATAAATAATGACCACACACAGCCACACAACCACAGGGCCGGCCCAGCGGACCCGGAATCACACGACCCGGCGACTTCTGACCCGATCTGCGCCAGGAATGTCCAACTGCGCGACAACTGACAAGGCACTGGTCCGGACGCGAATAGTCGTTCCGGAGCTCACAGCAGCCGAGGAGGAATAAGGCACGGTCGGGAGGGTTGGATTCACTCCTTCTCTAGCCGTCTGACAGGGGTACCTGAAAGGACGAACACCGATCAGCATTCAGCACGGAATATACAGGGGAATACGAAGCATCGAGACGACGGTCTGCAAATCATCGAAACCCTGACCTGAATATAGGAAACCCGCCGTAGTTGTCCCCGATAAATATTGGCAGGATTAAGTACATGAAGTGAGAATCACAAAACCGGAGCTATGGGAGAGCATAGCGGCGATTCGCTGGCTGGATAAATGGGTCAAAAATCAGCCATACTGCATACAGACTTGCTGCAAGTTCACAGTTCAACTTTAACTACACCAACACCAATACTTTCTCGATCGTATCCCGAGCACCTCCATCGATTTAGTGACTTAGTTCGGCGCAGGTGACAGCTTAAATGAAACCCACCTTGTCGCCGGCGGCCAGCGTGTAGCGTGAGCGGTTCCTGACCAGTGTACAGGTCAGCATACAGAGCGCCATCACGGCCAGAAAGGCGCTGGTGCACGTCAGGTGAGCGTACGCTCGCTGCCGGTCCGCCTGTGGGGAGACACGGCCACAGGCGTCAGAGGGGTGCTCTCAAACGGTACCTACCGATTAGGAAGGCACCTGACAGGGGCGTGTTGCAACGAAGTGAACACACGGCACAGTGCTGTCATCTACAGTCCAAAAAACGCAGGGTGACATCGGGCAGACATCCGTACAATTTGAGCTATCAAACATTGTTGACTAAATACGAATACAAAATGACATCCACGCACACTACGGTGACAGAGCAAAGCGTACTTTCCACTGGGTAATAGGGTGGCTGTGAAATTCCACTGAGATCTCACATACAAACACACTTCCTCGTTCGCATACAAAATCCTCTCACAGCGCAATCAACTTGCGTTCGTTAGGGGGTTGCTGGTAAGAAAGCACGAGATCTGCGAGATCGTACAAATTTTCGAGACTCGTCAAGTCCGATTCCGCTCATAGGATTCGATGGATTCGATGGGATTCGAGGACTTCGAGCCACGGTCATAGATACTACCGATACTACTTCGAGCAAGGAGTTCGAGTCGACTGAGTGTGGTCTTCAGAAACAAATAATCTACCGTTCCATTGGTCGTTTACCACCGCACCGCGTGTGATCTTCTGAAGCCACGAAGAGTAAAGCGGGGCGCTGCTACGCCGGACGATGTCCAGTGACCGATCCACCGCCGAGACGGAGCGGGCCAGCCCAGCAGCGCCGACTGCCGGCCTCCCTCCTCCCGTGGATGTCGGCCAGACCCAGCCGCTCCAGAACGACTTCCAGGCGCCGGTGGCGGCCGAGAACAACTACGACGACGGCGCGCTGCACCCGAACCAGGTGGCCGCCCTGCAGCAGCATCTGGCCACGCTGCGCCGGGAGAACGAGGCGTATCTGGCGCGCCACGGCGAGCTGCGCACCGTCGTGTCGGACTTCATCGCCGGCGTGGTCGACCGGCAGCCGGAGGACGTCAGGGATTTTGCCGCTCAGTTTTTCGCCCAGGCTAACCGGAAAAAGAAGGCGAAGGAGGCTGCACAGCGCAGCGGCGGCGGAGAGCAGCAGGGCCAGTAGGCAGCGCACTGATCACGAGTGAGACAGATGGACTGGCATCGGTCACACGGCTGAAGGCGCAACGCTGGCCTCCAGTTCATTTCTTTCATTATGTCTACCGAACGTCCGGTGGTTCAACGGCCAAATACACCATTCGCCTGGGATGACCCGATGGTGTGACGCTATCGGCAATCGATCCAATACTGGATACTATACATAATTTGATGTAAAAACGTCAATGTCAAAGTAATACCTAATATACTAACAAGTAACACTACTACTTGTACTAACACGATTTAAAGCAAGCACCGAAATCCACAGTCTGTGGTGTGAATATGTGCCGTGGTGTACATTCTCCCCATCCCCCTCACCATGGACAGTGTGATGTCCCAGGCGGTGGCCGGTGTGTACTCGAGGGTGAAGCGCGCGCCGCCGTCCGGGCAGTGCGCGGCGCCGTCCATGATCAGCTCCACGGCGCCGACGCCGGCCGGCGCGGCCGAAGGGGCGGCGGAGTCACAGGCGGGCGGCGGCGAGTGGCCGGGGTGGGGCAGCCGTGCCGCCGAGCCCCGCAACCGGACACAGAGCAGCTGGGAGCCGCCCGCCGACACCGGCCGCAGCGACACGTTCAGACCGGCCGAGGAGGGGTCCTCTGCGGGCGGGAGTGGATGAATTAGAGCAGCTGGCTACTGTGGGTCTGCTAAGGGCAGGCAGTTGAAGGCAGTCTTGAGGGCAGGACAGATACAGATGGTATACAAGTCAGAGTGGGGCCACAGAACCGGACCACATGGAACTGTACAATGAAGAGGCAAAATAGCATAATCACTATCACTATGTATTCAGTGACTAACAAGACACATTAAGGCCAAATGAGGAAAGAGTTAGCAAAGTTTTTACTTCCCCACCCACTAGCAGCAGTTACACATGACACAGTAGTACTTACCAAGAGTGAGCTCCAGGGAGCCATTGGAGGTGGGCTCAGTGAGCTGGTCAAACCAGCCAGAGGCCGTCACCAGGATGGAGGCTGAGGCGGCATCCTCTGTGGCATTGGCAGCTGAGGGCGGCACATGGTGCCTGCACAGGCTGTGGTGCTCCATACTCTTCAGGAACTGGTTCCATGACTGTTGACAAAGGTTGTAAGTGGTCTGAACTGGGCCTATGTGATGGACTGTTAACTGTTTACTTATGGAGCAGTGTTTTATAATTTATTAAATGCTGGCAAGTTAGGGCACCAAACATGAATAGTAGGAGCCCCTTTCCAACAAAAGCCCCACAAAAATCGTGCTTTCAAATGTATATAGTAAATTGTGCTTACCAGAGTATCCCGGTCTGGAATGCCCTCAGTGTTATACACATAGGCACCCAGTACCAGAGTGACACCACTGAACATCACAAGGCACGCCACAAATAGTATCAGCGGTGGCCAGTTGATAACCAAATTTCTCAATGCTGCCACTATCTTGGTAGTTTTTGAGCCA